GTTTTTGAAAAATTTATGTATAAATATTAAACTTTGTAGTGATTAACTTAAATTTTTTTGTAATATATCAATTGCGATATGTTCTTTTCTAACGGACAATATTTGAATTACCTAAAACGTCAATTTAAGGTTTAACATCAATGGATTACAAACAAAATCGGACACAAAGTCTAGATTAGGAACGACTAGCATTCATCTCATTATAGTGTCGCTATTACCATTCCCCGACGAGGACCTGATGCATATGTCGACAAATAAAAAGAGTTAAGTTTAATGCCTAGTGAGTTCAGATTATTTTTATAATTAATATAAAAAGGTAAAACTGAAAAATTGCTATCTAAATTACCACTTCCAAAATGAAATGCATTTATTATAAAAACATTTTTCCCCAAACCCACCATTTTCGTGATGAAAACTCATCAATCAAAACACTCATTTAGTGTGAAACCAAAACCTAACACGCACACAGATCGTGTATAAGGTTTAATAATCAAAAACTAAAAACATGGATAGAACTCTATTATTCAAAGCACCAAAACATGGATAGGGTCCAATATACCAAAACCACAAATATGGATAACCCTCCATGCCCGTAACGGCACCAAAAAGATGGATAAACTCTATATCAAAAAGCAACACCTTTCGATGATGAGGTTCCATCTATCATTGGCGAAACACAAAGTAAGTCATTCATCAACGTTACCGAGTATCACCTCAGATCCAGGTCCAAGTGTCTAACTCCTTTCACATGTCCACTGTAATACCCTGATCTTAGTACTTACTCTTATACAATTGAGTTACACCTTGAAAGCCAATGGTCCTGGATCGACTCCACATGAGTTCATCCCCACAATACCCTCGGTGACTTAATGTCAACTTTATTAGGCGAAAGCCTCAATAACAAGGGTCTCAGTGCTAGACTCCTCATGAGTTCATCACTGTAATACCAGGGTCCTGAAGTCCGACTCAACAAGAGATCACATTCGTAATACCTACAATCCTAGAGCCTGATTCATAAGAGTTTATCTTTGTAATACCGATATGATCCGGAGTCCAACCCTACATGGGTTCCTCTCTACAATACCGACATGACCACGATGCTTACTCGAGCACTGGTCTCAAAGTGAGAACATAAAAACTCTTCACTTTTCAAAATGACTGAATCACATGCCTATGGATCCATTTTATTACAATCTAAATTACATGACTCCAAATGAATGATCGACGCACTCAAAACATGTAATTTTCAACAAATTAAGTACAAGTTTTAAAGCTTAAAGTACCATCATTTTATGCAACAAATTTAAAAAACTCTTAATTACAAATTATTATGCATAATRTACAAGTTGTTTATGCAATGGTTTTCAAACACCAAAAATTACCCATTTTGGGCCGGTTTCTTCTTCCGGTTTCCTTCTTTTCTTTCTCCTACCTCTGCGACCACCAAGACCAAAAAATTTCTTCTCTTATGTATCCTTTGTCTGCGACCAACAACATTTTGGGTTAGGAAGCAGAGGGTCTTTCTTCTTCACAKACCTCATTTGCATAACAATGGTGGTGTAGATGTATCACCTCGATCAAAGAACCGATTTCATGTATCAAAGGGATTTGATGTATCAAATCCTCATTGATACATATAGCTCCCTCCTCCCTGTTGATCTAATTTCACAGGTTCTTCAAAACCCTAGAATTTGGAGGTATGCTCTTCTTTTTGGTATGCTTTATTTCAATTTTGATTTCTGCAACCACTTCTGATGAGAATATAACTTTATTTCTTCTTTCTGGTTTAACGATCGATGAAGGAAGCCCCATGCTATTTACAAGTTATAGGTAAGAATCCTCTTTTACATCGCTTTGAAAATTTGAGGTACTGTGTGTGGTTCGTATTCTTGGAAATAGATTTATATGTTGTTTGGTTGTTATTAAAATTTATGTGTTTTGGTTCTGTGAATTTTACCATTTGCTTACCATATGAACTGGGATTTCGATTTTGTTGTTTTGCCTATTTTGTTCTCTTTGTGTTTTGCCTATGCATATAAGCCTATYATCACAGCTTGTATGCCAGGTGTTTGTAAAAATGCATGACTTGTCTGATGTGTGTAGTAGTAAAATATGGTTCCTCCATCAACAATGGCATGCTGCAGCAGCAGCCTGCTGTAATGCATACATACCCATATGCCTTTRTTTCAATACCGACTAGCAAATGAGAAACAAGAAAGCATGAAGCAAGTAGACTGGTCACTTAGGCTAACATTCGTTTTGGAACAGGTTTCATTTTCTGGTCTTTGATAGCAACATAAAATAAAAAAAAGAAAATGAAACACGACTAATTAATCATTGTTGCCCTCCAACAGGGATCATTGAAATTCTAGGAGTTATTGAAAGGGAACAGGAGTAGTCGGACATGCCTCCTTATGTCCAGCAGGCTCACCGATCTGGTAGTGGTAGCTGGTGGTCAAATGGGTGGCAGAGCTGGTGGACACTGGAGATTGTTCTTAGTGTTAGTTAATTGCCTGGAAAATGCTGATCACTTTTACCAAAACAGTTTATGCCCAAGTCCTTAGGGCAGTAGCCAATAGATAGTAGAACATAATGTGTCCTTATAGTATTGCACCGAGGAACATATTAAAGATCAGAATCATTCCAGACCAAGGTTCTCATTATAACACCAATGTCAATTCAACTAAGTATATATCATAAAATGGCATCTGCAGAAGCTGTTGGTGGATTATTCCGACATAATTTTAGTTAAACTAATACACTTTAACTAAAAGATTAGAATACAATTATACTAACATGGTCAGCATGGTGGATTGATCCTACATCTTTTATTATTTCTTTATATCTCGACAATGATTGGATTATTTTGATTCCTGGTGATTTGCAGAGGCCGTCTTGAATTGAACTAAGCAGCTATATTATCTTCTGTCTGGTGGTTCTTTTTGTCTTAGCCAGCAGCATTTCTGCATTTAGTATGTTAGGAATTTGCACCTTTTGAAGATATCATCAYCAGGTTGGTTAAAAACATCCCCTTTGTTGTATATTCATATATTATGATGCAAAATTGATTACATAAGTGTTAAAAGATCAACCAACATGATCTTTAWGGCTTTAGAAGAAGCATCAATACATCATTATTTAASAAAATGGCATTTTGTTGAAGTAATTRGAAGATTGAAAAAAGTTTTATAATTGTATTTAAGGCCAGGGTTAGTGCCTTTGTGGTTTTGAAAGGCAAAGTTATATTAATGATGATGGTACAAAAATAACCTGCACAATTGATCTGTGCCATTGAACAACATACTACAAACTGATACACAAGATCACCTATTTAAATGAAAGGATACCATGAAATCTTTTTTTTTTTGGTAGAAAGCTTCTACAATTAAGATCACTTTTTGGTATTTTTTATGGACTCTTAGGAAATTGTATAACGTGGATCCAAATGACTACATGTTTTCGATTTATGGGATGAGGATCTTCAAGAGCTCTCTTCTCTTGGAAAAATGGCAACTTTTTTTGCATGTGAATGATGATAGGTATATGATAAAGACAATGAAGAAGGCATAAGTGATTAGTCTTGAAAAAAGTATATTGAGACATGTCATTAAATATAATAGGGTTGAGTAAGTCTTAGTTTGAGTTGGGTTTTGAAGGATGTATGTGGGTGTAAAATTAAGTCTCATTCGAAAGAGTACTCAAAATATATTTTGGATAGAGACATTTTTTCGGTTAGATTATGTGTATAATTTTGTAATTTCTGATCATTTTGAATAAAAATTGACTTGGAGTAGTCATGATCCAAAAAATTTATCTAGAACATCGATTTGTTTTAAAAAAGGGTTTGTTATTTTAGACATTCCATGTGAAAATTTGTTCTATTTTTACGGATGATTGCAAAAGCTACCAACACCAACGTTATGGGTGGATGGTTAGTTGAATCTAACATATGTATAGATGTAGTAGACTTCATGACATTTTGAGATAAGTTCTCTAAAGATTTTGTTTAATCTCCACAGGCTCTTCTGCTCTATGTCGTGCTGATATCCCAAGCTTGATTCACATCGATTCAAGGATATCCTTGATGAGGCAATTTCAACGGGTAATTGTTTCTAATTCTTCATTTAATTGAGTTGAGGATAGAAATTTTCCCATTCTATATATGGTTGGGAAGAGATATGTAAATTATGTAAGACTTTGATATCTTTTCAAAATGGAATAAGATAGAGAAACCTAACCTTAAATTCAGTTTGTTGAGTAATTAATGAAGAAAAAATGTAGAATCTCTRATTTTAGAAATTGAGTAATGTAGTTGATCTTCATTTKCAGGAGAGGTGAAGTCAATGAAAGCATACTAGAAATGGGCTAAACAGGTCTTTGAAACAAAACCACCGACAAATCCATTACAACATAGGGGGAAGTGAGCTAATACTTTCCGAAATTTTGTTCATGTGATGATTATAATGTTTTGGTTCTGACTTCTGAGAAACTAACTCATGATTGTGTTGCAGATCAAAAATAGAGTCAGAAGTGACAAAGGGATTTGTTATTATACAAATTCCACTTAAAAGATTTGTTTTTGTACGAACGATTGCAGAAGCAACTAATACCGACATTTCACATAGATGGTTATTTGACTCTACTGTAAGTACAAATGTTGTAGGCTTTATGACACCTTGAAAGACTTTGATATCTCGAAATTGAATAAATTTTAATGAATTTTTACATCCCGCCGCATTGCACGAGTACACAACTAGTAATATACTATAAATATAAATATTAAAATTAAGTAATATAAAAAATAAGTTTAAGAGGAAATTAGTAAATAAGAAAAAAAGAAAGAAAAAGAATGTAGGAGGACACCTGTAACCTGAACATAAAAAGACAAACAATTTTTGTAAATTTGTGATTATTTAATGAAAATAATGGAAGCGAGGACGATAATGGGCGTGTGTCAGCATCCAACAGTAATATCTCCTCCAGCCACCCAAATCCTCAGACACCACACGATCGTCTTCCCCCTTTCACCATCTCACTCGACATGGCTTCACGCTGTCACAATTATATCATCATTCCTCACTTTCACCATTATTTTCTCACGCTTCATTTGCTTTCTAAAGGATAAACCCGTGTTGAATTTGATTTCCGGTGGAGTTAGGGTTTTGTAATCAGAATGGTCGGAAAAAACTAGTTCTAAAGAAGAAGAAATACATTGGTTGGATTGTTATGACGGTGCAGTACGAATGTTGCGGGACCGGGTTCTTTTTACATATTGGGATCGTAGCGTTCTTGGTTTTGTTCGCTGGTTTGATGTCTGGGCTTACTTTAGGGCTTATGTCTATGAGTCTCGTTGATCTTGAAGTTCTTGCTAAATCTGGGACTCCAAAAGACCGTAAATACGCAGGTGCATGGTTCAAAATTTTCCTTTTCTGTTTTTGTCTGAAGTTCTTAACTTTGTTTTTTATGCTTGTGTTTGTGTTGCTTCATTTTGTCTTTCAACTCTTATGCGACTTAATATATGTTATTGTCTGAATTATCATTTCTGTGATCTTCTTATTACCATATACCTTCTCAGTTTGGATATAAGAAAGTAAGTTGCATTATCTGAAAATCTATTGTTAATATGTGCTCAAACTTGTTACGGGAATCAAATAGAAGTCCATACTAGAAACAGATGATCCTGCACCTTACATATCCCAAAGAGAAAACCTAAACAGTTCAAGCGTGTCTACACTGATCCACCTAAAGAAACCACAAAAAAAACACACATACAAATGTAGTAAAACTAGAACTTTCTTTTGTCCTGATCTCAACTACAACTTGGTCTTACAATCGATGTGGATCAATGGGGGTAAATCCATAGTCTTCAGGCCTTAGAGCATTAAAGAAACTCAACAACTTAAGGGGTAATTCAAATTCTAAGACCTTTGTTTTACTCCTAGAGATCAGCAGTTCAAAGTCTCTTAAAGGCTACTGGACTGTTTGTCTGACTATTAACTTCAGTGTTCCGTGAGATTAGTTGAGGTGCACGCAAACGGACCAGACACCCATGGTTACCAAAAGAAAGATGAGGATAAGAATGGGAACCAATACTTGAGAGTAAAAAAGGGGTGTGCTCAAGAAAAATCATTATGGGTGGTTTTGACTACTACAATCCCATTTATGCCATTGCTACTTTTTAATGTTTTGGCACCTGTTCTCTTCCCCCAACTGGTATTTTTCTGGTGCTAATTGTTGTTCCATCCGCCTTACTGCTATTTCGGTGGTGGTGGTGGTTCTATCCATCCATTGAAAGATCTAGGACATCGAGGGTGGGTGTTCCCCCTTTTAAAGTATTCTGCATATTCTTAAATGATTAGAAAAGAAAAATAATAAAGATTTGATCTTTTCTAAAGGTCATCTTCACAGGAAAGATGGCCTTTAATGACCCCCCCCCCCCTGAGGATGGTGCTAGATGCATAACTCTTTAAAACCAATCAAGGGATGAGTTTAAAATCAGAGGCCATTTGAAAGTCATTCTGTACCTGAAACACGTAAAACAAGATCAAAAATGGAACACGTAAAACAAGACGAGGATAAGAAATTGACACAGACCAAAGAGAAGGCTTTCCAAAAAATATCATATCTCCAAAAGCACATGAACAGGGTCTAGGAGGAGATGGAGATGGTTAGTGGTCAGGCATATGTGCATTTGGGTATGGGGTTTATCGATATGATGCTGAAATACTTATTTGTCTATAATATCAGTTTTTTCTTCCTGAAAGCCAGAACAAATAAGTTGATATGCTATTCAAGTTTTGCTAAAACTTCTGGTCTATATTAAGTTGTTGGCCAGGTGATTCTTATGTCACTACTACTAATTCTTTATCCCGGCAGAGAAAATACTACCCGTGGTCAAAAGGCAGCATCTTTTGCTTTGCACACTTCTTCTTTGCAATGCTGCCGCAATGGAGGTATTTCATATATAACATTTTCAAACAAGGGGCAGGTTCATTTGAGAACCGTAAATATTTTGAAGACCATGAGAACCAACTATTCATGAATTATACATTATTGAATAGTATTTATGAATTTTTAGGTATATTCATCGTGGATAATTTATGAATATGTGGTTCTCAAATCTCAAAGTTCTCAAAATATCTTTGGTTCCTACACGAACGTTACCCTTCAAACAAGCTGTTTTTGAGTAGATTAAGTTTGAAATGGTTGTTATCTTCTCAGGCTCTCCCAATTTTTCTGGATGGTCTGGTCACAGCTTTGGGTGCTATTCTTATTTCAGTGACATTGATACTTCTGTTTGGTGAGGTGAGTAATAATCTATTATGTACATTAGTAAGCAGAATGAGCTTCAAAGTTCAGATTGATGGGCTTGCAGGTTTGTACCATTGGGCCGAAGGTCACTAGGTGTTGTAACTAGAGATGCACAAGGCCTGGGCCTTTGAAGCCTGTTTTATCGGTACACAAAAGAAAAGCCCCTGTTTTGGGGTTGAAGAATTTGGCTTTTTCAAGCTGGGCTTTAACCAGGCCTTGAAAAAAAGTTAGCCTGATCGGGCTTGGGCTTTTTTTTGCATCTCTAGTTGGAACCTTCGTTATTATTTTCACTGTCACTGGTTACTATTTACTCCCATCCACAGATCATACCGCAATCTGTTTGTACTAGGCATGGACTGGCTATTGGTGCGACCGTGTCTCCATTTGTGCGTGTTCTTGTTTGCATTTGTTTTCCCATTGCATATCCTATAAGCAAGGTAATTCAGTTTGTTTACCACTTTCCATAAACTAGTCAAACGGTGTTGGAAGTTGGAACTTGTGATTTTTGACTTTGTTTCGAAATGAATCAGCTACTTGACTATCTGCTGGGCCATGAACATGTTGCTCTATTCCGCAGAGCTGAGTTGAAAACACTTGTTAATTTTCACGGTAATGAGGTATGTGTCTTACAACTTGGTCAAATTCCTCCACAATTTGCTTATTGAAGGATATGAGTTTGGTATGAGGAACATGGTAAGTTCAAAAACTTGTTGTACCACGTTTGGCACGACATTAGAATGGGACGAGACAGTACCTGAGGTGCGATAAAAATGCATTCCTTGGGAAAGTTTAAAAAAAGCCAACGAACTTTCGTGTTTTGAATGATCAAGTTCTTGAACTTTTTTTTGAACAAACCAAAGGGCCTTTGACCTAGGGGTATCGTAGTCTTTGGCCTCTTAGGAGGTCAGGGGTTCAAACCTCATCAAAGGTGAGAAGTGTGTGTGGGTTTATTTGTTGCATTTTTCTGTATATAAATATTATATACTTAAAAAAAAACTCTTTTTTGAACAAATAAATCCTTGAATTTACTGAAATCGAACAAATAAATCCTTGAACTAACTAAAACCGAAGAAAACCCAACGAAATTTCATATTTTGAGAAATTAAGTCCCTGAACATTTTTTGAACGAATAGATCCTTACACTTATAAATGTACCATTTCTCTTTCTATTTATCACCAACTCAGTAGCAATGTACAACGAACCAATAAAACCAAAAAACACACACCATTTTTATCAACCATTGTATATTTTTCAAATTTAAATGATAATCACAGTGTTTGTTATGATCTTGTAATTGTCACTTGAATCTGTAAAATACATAATTATTAATTTCTCTTATGATTATCAGTTGAATCTGAAAGATAAATCATGGATAATGAAAATGGTATATGTAATTTCAAAGAAATTCTATTGTTATTCTCATTGAAAAGCAAAAGGGGTATTTATACAACTTAGATACCTAACTAGAATCCCATAATTTAAGGGATTTGATAACATACAAGGAAACTTATCAAACTATACAAATATCTACCAAATTTGTTACAAAAGGAAAAATAATCCCAAGAAATCAGGGATTATATTCACTGTATCAATTCCACACTTCCCCTCAAGTTGGTGCATATATATCATACATGCCCAACTTGTCAATAAGACAATCGAATGCGGGTCTAAATAGTCCTTTGGTTAAGATATCTATTGTTTGCTCTTTGGAAGGGATGAATGCAATGCAGATAGTCCCATTGTCCAACTTTTCCCTTATGAAATGTCAGTCCACTTCAATGTGTTTTGTCCTGTCATGTTGGACTGGATTTTGTGAGATGCTAATGGCTGCTTTATTATCACAAAACAACTTCATAGGTAGCTCAACCTTTAAACGTAAGTCAACAAAGACCCTTTTGATCCATATTATTTCACATATGCCATCTGCCATTGATCTGAATTCAGCTTCTACACTGCTTCTGGATACAACACTTTGTTTCTTGCTTCTTCACGTGACAAGATTTCCCTATACATAAGTACAATATCCCGATGTAGATCTTCTGCTCATGTTTAGGTCTGCCCAGCTTGCATTAGTGAAGGCTCCAATGGTTCGGTTGTCTCCTTTTTTATAGAGTAGTCCTTTGCATGGACAACTCTTTAACTATCTAAGAATTCTATGGACAACTTCTTCATGTTCTTCATAAGGACAATGCATAAATTGGCTCACCATGCTAATTGCAAAAACAATGTCAGGTCGTGTATGTGATAAGTAAATCAACCTTCCAACCAACCGTTGGTATTGATGAATATCAATCTGCTTCCCATCAATAATGCCATCCAACCTTTTGTTGGGGTCAATTGGAGTATCTATCGGTCGACATGCACTCATTCCAGTATCTTGTAAAAGATCCAGAACGTATCTCCTTTGTGACAATACAAAGGAGATAAACTATTAAGGTTGTAATTTTACCTTTTGAGGAAAATCGAGTGAATAGAGTATGATCAGATTGAGCCTGTTTGTATCCGTGACTTTAACAATGCCTTTGGGGATTGCTCGAGCCCATACAAAGCTTTCTCTAATTTGTACACTTCTGTGCCAAAGTACTTTCAAACCTAGGTGGTGGCAACATATAAACTTCTTCTTCTAGTTTGCCATTCAAGAAGGCATTTTTCACATCAAATTGCCTAATTGGCCAATCAAGATTTGCTGCTACTGAAAGTAGAATTCTTAGGGTATTTAACTTTGCAACTAGAGCAAATGTTTTTGTATAATCAATGCCATAGGTTTATGTGAAACCTTTGGCTACTAGCCTTGCTTTATATCTTTCAAGGGCTACATCAGCATTAAATTTTAGAGTAAATACCCACTTACAACCAACTGTGGGAATACCTTTCGGAAGATCTTCAACACGCCATGTCTGATTCTTCTCAAGAGCACTCAATTCCTCTAGAACAGCCTTTTTTCACTCTGGACTTTAAGGGCTTCCTTTATAGTGTTAGGAATTTGAACTTTGGACACATTTGAAGTGAAAGCAGAGTATTTTGGTGAGAGTTTTGAGCAAGACATGTAATTGGACATAGAATGTTTAACACATGCACGTTTTTTTTCTCTCGAGGCTATTGGAACATTCAGGTCACATGACTTACCAAGAGATGGTTCCTTTCTCGGTTCGGAATCAGGAGCTGAGATTTTGTTGAACTCTTTGTTTGGAGGGAATCTTCGCTCATACACTTTTCTGAACTGTGTTTTTTTTTCTTTTTCACTACAGTCCTTTTGAGTAACTTGTTGAGGTTCAAATGATACTTCAGTTTCTTCAGGAGGAATATTATGTTCACTTTCTCGATCTAGTGGTGGTTCTATTGGAACATCTACATTTTCCTTGTGTTCAAAGATTGGACAATCTTTGGGATTTGAGTCAAATGCAGATGGCTCAAATGTAGTTGGAATAGATCCGAAAAATTTAAGTGTTCTTTTCTATTCTCCCCCTGAAGATGAGATTTAAAGAAAGGAATATTTTCAAAAAACTTAACATCCATGGTAACAAACATTTTCCCCATGTTTGGATGAAAACATTTAAATCCCTTTTTATGTGGTGCGATTCCTACAAAAACACATTTGAGGGCTTTGTGGTCTAATTTGCTGAGGTTGAATTGGTGCTCTTAATAAACATGGTACAATAAAAAAAAAATTAAAGGCATGAAACAAAATAATTGTGACTTTGGAAAAGAACTTTCTAAAACAAATATGGGTGTTTGAAACTTTAAAGCTTTAGACGACATTCGGTTCATTAAATATGTAGCATGTAGAAGAGCATCACCCTATAAATATTTTGGTATTTCAGTTGAAAATAGTAAAGCCCGAGTGATTTCAAGAAGATGCCTGTTTTTTCTTTCAGCTATGCCGTTTTCTGGTGGAGTATCTAAGCATGAGCTTTGTTGAACTATGCCTTGTGCATCTAAAAGAATTCCCTAGAGTTTTAATAAAATATTCCCTACCATTGTCACTTCTAAGAATTTGAATCTTAGTGCCAAATTGAGTTATGTGTAGAATTTTTTGAAAACATGTTCAACTTCTGATTTTTCTTTAAGCAAATAGACCCAACAAACCCTTGTATGATCATCTATGAAGGTAATAACCATCTATTCCCATGACACGTAGTGACTTTAGAAGGACCCCATATGTCACTATGTATCAAAGCAAAAGGCATAGATGGTTTATATGGTTGTGGATGATACGTACTTTTGTGTACTTTTGCTAACGCACAAATCTCATATTGAAAGGTTGAGGGATTTTTATTACCAAATAACATAGGAAACAAATGTTTTAAATAAAATAAACTTGGATGTCCAAGTCTAAAGTGCCATAAATAAATCTCATTATTACTCAAATAAGATGCGATGAAGAAGCAAGAAGTCTTATTAGAGTGGATTCCATCATCTAGTATGTAGAGTCCACCACATTCATTAGCACATCCAATCATCCCGCCCCGAGTCCAGGTCCTAAAAAATGCAAATGGAAGGAAAGAACAAAGCACGACAATTGAGGTCAGCAACGAGTTTATGAACAGAGATGAGATCATGAGTTTTGGAACATGTAGGACATTAGAAAGAGATTTGTAAGCACAACAATTCGCACTTTTCTATTTCCTGCACAAGGCTTATAAGAATTAAAGAGATTCGAACAAGAAGTCATGTGATTAGATGCCCCTGAATCAATAATCGAGGCTGATGTATTTTGTAAGCACATATGAGAAGATGAATAGTTAGACGAAGGGGTGTTTTTACCAGATTGCACATTGCACATAGGCACAAGATGCGTCAGCAGAAGAAGACATAGGTCTGGTTTTAAGTAATTTTAGGAGCTGCTCCATTTGATCCTTTGTGAATTGAGACGGTCCTGGTTGGATTTGAGTGTCTTGAGTCGTTTCAACTGTGGTATGTAGGGCTCTTTCGGACTTACTCTTCCAGCCGATAGGCTTGCCATGAAGCTTCCAACACTTGTCCCGAGTGTGCCAAAACCTCTTACAATGGTCACAATAAGGTTTCTTTTTTGTATCACTCCCTTGTTCTATGCCACAGACAAGTAGGGCTGCTGTGTCCCCGACATCAGTAGGTTGGATCCCATTCGTCATTACTTTTCGTCGGCTTTCTTCAAGTCTTACTTCTGAATTAACTTCTCGGATGGATGGAAGAGGCTTTCGGCCAAGAATTCTTCCTTTAACTTCGTCGAGACTTGGGCGAACACCAGCGAGGAACATGAACACATGGTCATTCTCCTCTTTCTTCTTCAGACGAGTATAATCTGCAGAACTCTCCCACACATTATCGTGGCATTGATCCAATTCTTGCCATAATGCTACCATCTCATTATAGTAAGAGTTAACATCACGGTTATCTTGTTTGGCTTGCCACAAATGTGTTTTAATTTCAAAGATCTGGGAAGAATTCTCCAAGTCTGAATATGTCGTTCGAGCAGAGTCCTACACTTCCTTGGCTGTTTTCATGAACATATGTGGCTTAGCAATGGACATGTCTATTGAATTGAGTAGCCACGCAGTTACTAAAGAATTCTCAGAACACCATTTATGGTCTTCTGGATCAGATGAGACTGGTTTTGAAGTTTCACCGCTCGGGAAGCCCAACTTACCTTGACCAACAATGGCGAGTTTTACAGATTGTGACCATCCCAGATAGTTTTTCCCATTCAAACGATGCACTGTGATTTGCATCGGTGATTGAGAGTAAACTATTGGTGTTGATTGATCGGTAGATGTGACGGTGGAGTTTGATTCGGACTCCGGCATGTTGAACCTCGGTTATTGGTTCTGATTATTAACAACAAATAAGAAGTTGTTAAAACAGATACCTTTGTAGCTCTGGTACCATGTAATTTCAGAGAAATCCTATAGTTGTTCTCATTGAAAAGCAAAAGGGGTATTTATACAGCTTAGTAACTAGAATCCCATAATTTAAGGGGTTTGATAACATATAAGGAAACTTACCAAAATATTCAAATTTCTACCATATCTGTTACAAAAGGAAAAATAATCCTAAGAAATCAGGGATTATATTAACTATATCAATCCCACAGCATATAATCATTTCCTTTTATTGTATCTTGTTACAGATCTATTGATGCATCTATAAAGAAATAGTATATAAATATTTTTACAAATGTTAGGATTTTTATGTCAAAAAGTTGTATAGGAATTAATCATTTAAAATATGAAAATTCATTTGGTTTCTTCGGTCGTTTCAAGTTTAAGGATTTATTTGTTCAAAAAAGTTTAGGGACTTGCTCACTCAAAAGGGAAAATTGCACCAAAATGGAACCAACTTTCACCTGATTCCAATTTTGGAGAACCAACTTTCAAAATCGTCATTTAGGGGTCTCTATCAAACTTTTTGTTTATTTAAGGGTTTGGTTGACCGGTTAATGCTGATATCATCCATATTTTTTGCCAACTAAGATATTCCACGTCATATTAATTTTATATTTTAAAACTAATATTTCACGTCATATTTGAAATTGCAAAATAATTATAGAAAAATAACTAAAATTCATTTTTTTTCAAAAATTAATGCAATAAAATCTATTTTTCATTTCAAATCTCGTTTTTTTTTTAAATTCAGATATCAAATTGAAGATTTAAAAAAAAATCCAAATTACCACAATAAAAATTGTTTTTTACTAATGCAATAAAAAAAAATTTTAATAGAAAAAAATTAATTGATGCAATAAAAAATAAATATTAAATATCACATTCAAGATATTTATATCTAACCAATCCGTATCAATATTAAAATTTAAATCAAATTTGGCAAATCAAACCAAAAGTTTGATAGAGACCCTTAAATTACCCGTTACTTGTTCAACAGATCAACCAGACCCTTAAATAAACAAAAAGTTTGATAGAGACCCTAAATGACGATTTTGAATCCAAAATAGGAATCAGGTGAAAGTTGGTTCCATTTTGGTGCAATTTTCCCCACTCAAAATGTAAAAGTTTGTTGAGTTTTTTTTTTTTTCCTTTTTCTGTCCCACTAAAATAGGTGGAACATGAATAGATGAGATAAGATTGGTAAATTACTAAACTACCCATATCAAATTAAACCCTGAACTCTTCCACAAAATTTTCACCTGCACACCTCATTGTCCCCCGTTCGGTCCTGTTCGCGTATCAATCACACCCTTGCATTTCTCCTGCTTGATGTTAGTCTCTTTCCCAATGTCCATATGATCAGTTCCATTCACCAATTAGTTATCCCACCTAGTTATATAAATACAAACAAAAAGAGAAATAGAAGCTGGTTTCCTCCTGTTACTAGCGCTTCTCTGCTTAGTTATTTATCTTCTCTTTATTCTTCCTGCCAACTTTTCGCTCCCTATTTTCATGATCTTCTTGTATCCTTGCAAACAGGCTGGAAAAGGTGGAGAACTAACACATGATGAGACAACAATAATTGCAGGAGCACTTGAACTCACAGAAAAAACAGCCAGTGATGCCATGACTCCTATATCAGACACCTTCACGGTTGACATTAATGCCAAACTTGACAGGTGCTGAGTACTTTCAGTAATTTTCGTAAGAACCATACTTAATCCATGTTTTTTTTTGTAACCATGAGTGTCGGGGCCAGCTTGTGCACACATCGACTAATCCCATGAGGCCCTGAAAATAACGCCAAGAAAATCCCCAGTGGTCTTAAGGAGATTCGAACTGACGACCTATCGGGGGGAGCCCCAATGCATAGCCTTTGCAAATAGCTGGCCCTCAAGGAAACTTATCCATGTTTGGAACCTTTGTCATTATGTATCATATAACGTTGTGCTACAGGGACTTGATGAATATAATTATGGAGAAAGGACATAGCAGGGTACCTGTCTACTACGAGCAACCTACAAATATAATTGGACTTATTCTGGTACTATTATTTAAACTCCTCTGTGACGCTAATAACATAACAAATAATGCATATCTGCCTTTCTTGTTTTCGAGTTCCTCTTTGAAGTGGAGGTCAGGCCTGTGTACATTTCAGCCCCGACCCCACCTTCGTGTGGGGATATACTGTGCTTGTTTGGGTTGGTTCTGTGTAGTATTGACATTTAAAGTAAATGGCAACCACCAAATCCATCACCAAGTTGTTTAGTTGGATTTAGGACTTCAATTTATTTACCATTGGGTTTATGGAGGATGATTGATTTGATTGATGCACTTGTAAAAGCCTTCGATACTCCTTAGGGTGGATGTCAGGGGTGCGCATATGCCACCCTTCAGACCCACCTCCGGGTGGATACATTGGGCTCGTTTAGTTTGGTCTGGTTTACTTGTAAAAGCTAATGATTAATCCTATAAGTTCGAATTCAGAATAAATTGTTTCCATGGCACATTTTATCTGCCGGGCCATTACATTACATCTTGTTACCATGTGAATTTTATTTGTGTCATACTATTCCTGTGGTAAATCGCTAAATTTGTTTCTAATGTTTTAGGTGAAAAATATGTTGACCATCAACGCAGATGAGGAAGTCCCGGTTAAGAATGTCACGATTCGCAGGATTCCCAAGTATGTTACAAATGTTAAAGGGGTCTAATAACTTGTTGCTCTTTGCATTACTTACCATGTTTTTTCTTACTGTTTCCGTTCAAATGGAAAAGTGTTTTTTCCATGAAAACGTTATGAAATAAGAAGGAAAATAACGGTGGTTGTTGAACTTGACAATCGGCAGATACTAGTTTTACAAGCCATATTTTCTTATAGGGTTGCGGAATCTCTTCCATTATACGACATCTTGAATGAATTTCAGAAAGGTCACAGTCACATGGCGGTTGTTGTGAGACAATGTGTTAAAACAACGGATCAGCCTGCCACGAAAACCCTGTTATCTGGTACGCCCTCCTACGCCCCCATCCTGAAGTCTGATTTACCTAATTCAGTAGTCAGGGGTCTTCTTGGAAACGACCTCTCTGTCTCTTGAGATAGAAGTAATATCTACATACATCCTACCTCCGTGTGGGATATCATATACAGGGTTTGTTTGGTTTCGTTTAGTGAACTAATAATCTCTTCCCAAAAACACATGGAAACACAACAGAGAAAGGCGTGAAGGAAGTCTGCATAGATATTGATGGTGATTGCAGGACTCCTCTAGAAAAGATTTTAAAAACGAAAAGATCATTCAAGCAGTGGAAGAGTTTTCCCAGCAGGGGAAGCAATTCTTTCAGTAGTAAAAAGTGGAAGAAAGAAATGTATTCGGATATCTTAGAGATCGATGGAAAGCCGCTTCCAAAACTTCCTGATGAAGAAGCAGTTGGCGTAATAACAATGGAAGATGTAATCGAAGAATTGTTGCAGGTAAATCTTGATAAACTCTCTAATATGATCCTCCATTTCGTTAGCAATGTGCATTTGATGATGACTTTTTACATCCATTTAGGAGGAAATCTTCGATGAAACAGATCATCAATTTGACGATTTATGACAAAGGGTAGTTTGAACTGAATCTGGTGCCATTTGGCGAAAATCTTGTTAGTGTTTGTCGACTCGGCTTGAAGTTCAAGAGCGTCTGAAGTGAAGCGAATATAATCTTCCACTTCAGATGTAATGTAGTTTCCTGGTAGAACTTTCTGTATGTTAAAGATTCATGGACATTAGTCGTGTATATGTTCACGGAAGTCATTGTTATGAACATATGAACATGTTTTGCTCGGAAAAGTTTGTGTTCAAATGGCTTGAACGAGCCGAGTTGAACATTGGTATATGAAGCTCAATTCGTTAAGTCAAACGAGCTATATTTTGTTTTGTTTCTTAGCAGCTTAATGGAACTCACAGCTTCATCGTAAGAGACGCCTCCAAACCTTGCAGTGAACATCCCCAAACCTTCTTCGAAGCATCATCAGCAGCACCCAGATCCCCTCATCTCTCTCCCCTTCAACCCCCTGTTCGGTTCTGCCCCTTCAACCGTTGAAAAATTAAATGGAGTAAGATAGATGAAATAAATAAAGTTTTAACCTTTATAAAACTTTTAAATCTTTTAACGTAAAAAGTTAAAATTTTAAGATTAAAGATGATAACTTTTTGTGTTTAGAACCCACAACACCTGAAAATGTGCCAATACCGATTTAATCTATCATTCGCGATAGATTCAATGATAGAAAATAGTAGAAGCAGAGTTATTCACTTGGTGAACATAAATTAAATACAATGCACTAAATTTAAAACCAACCTGATTAAATTGTCGATGAATCGTAATCTGTAATTCTGTACGGTAAAACCCGTCCTTAAAGGTTTTATACGACTATTCTTTTCTCGATGTGAGTTTGGTAGTCGCAAAGCCTCAGGATTTGATGCAGTATATGTTTTCGTTTATGAACAGCGATGAAAACGAAAATAGAACGAGGTGGATGCAGAAATTGGTAGAGAGAAAAGGACGTTCGGAAGTAGCAATCGTAGAATCGAAAAAGACTGAATTTTTTGTGTGTTTTTAGGGTTGGCTTCAACCCAGTATTTATACTGGGTGAAACGCTAAACAACCCACGATCTTCTCCCCATATATCGCACGATCATGGAGAAGTTGGAGGATTATCCTCCAACGATCGTTATCTCTAAAAACGTGGCTGAATCGATTTTAGTTCTTTTTCTTCTCTCTCGACTTTGTACCAAAAAGATACTCGGAGCTTGACTCCTCCTACTCCTCACACCACTTTTGCGAATCCCCCACCCTCAACCTCACGCATGTACATTGGGCCTTCCAAGTAAGACCCCTACAATGAGTCTACTCATATGTTCAAAGCCTAATTCTAGAGGAAGATCGTGGTGGTTAAACATCTACACAAACCATGTGCTTAGTTCCAGTGTTCCACCCCTTAATCAATCTGCAGTTTATGATATTGTTAAGAGAGTGAGAGACATGATTTGTAGGTGTGTGTAGCATATTCAACAAATCTGGGTTGTTTTCTTCTCTCTCTCTAGAAAAGATCCGTAGCGGCTTCCTGTTATCTCCAGATTTGCGAAACAATGTATTTTTTCTCTCTCTTATATTTAGGGTTTGTCAGATTTTAAGCTTTTGATTTACAAATTTAGGTTTGATAGATTTCAAGTTTTTTGATTTATTGAGAATTCAGATTTAAAGCTTTTTGATGTATACATTTTGGTTTATCGTATTTGTTGGGTCTGATTTTCTGGATTATAATTCAAGAACCGTTAGCAGTAATGAGGTTTAGGGGTTGTTTGGCTGTATCACAAAATGAAGGTTGAAGAACTCATCTAAATCAACCCAAACTTGGTTTGGAATCTCTATTTCTAAATTCCTCAATTCTGTGTTTCACATTTTGTAACTGATTTTAACAATTGAAATTAATTTGACTTTTTTTAATGGATTTTTCAAGAACAAAAATGTATAAAAAAAAAGATAAAAAATAAGACAACAAAAAAAACTTTAAAAAAGAAAAGAAGTAAAAGGACTAAAATACCTTTGACTTAGTAGACCCTTTTAACATAATAGTTCAAGGGACCAAATATGAAAACAAATGATAATTACAGTGACTAAAACTGTAATTAATAAAAAAGAGGGACGATAACTGATAATAAATGGTAACCACAAAGATAAAAAATGTAGACTATTCAAAACTTAAATGTTTAAAATGCGTTCACAGCTCGATAAGTTCGTTGGAAAGAATATTTTAAACATTAAAATATATCGTACAAGAATATTATTATTATTAATTAAATAAAGTTTAATCATTTATTTTCTTGAAACCTTAATTTACAAATAAATATATAACAACATAAAGGAGGCACACAAGTACAACCTTGGAAGTTGGAACCATACTATGTCCATCCTTCCAAACCTTTATTTGAATAATCATTAATCAATAAACTTTACAGTGGGCTGTCTAAGGATTCGAATCTGGAATTAATCGGATGGAACAGATAATTTTTCTGTTAAATAATTTCCTCTGCATTGACACAATCTACGATGCTATCAGAGTGAAAAAGGGGGGCCTAGGTGGAAGGAACTGACTTGACTGGTGAAATTCCAAGAAATTCTCCGATTTTTTCTTGAAGCAGATGATTAAAAAAAAGATTGATTATTGAGTAAAAAAATACAATATTTTTTGAAGTTTGATTTATTTTTACTAAAGGTAACGATTTGTTTTCTTAACTAAGATAACGAGCATGTATATTTTGATTTTTAATTGATAGAGGTTGTAACTGTTAATTATGTATGAATGGCAAATTTTCAAGTTATATTGTAATTAATGATTATAAAAAAAATTAAATGTTATATTAAAATCAACCAATATCATGTAGGGTGAAAACTCACTTATCAACTGAATTGAGTACAAAATATGAACAATTTAAAGTCTCTTACAGAAATTAAGAAGAAAAAAAAACATCATTACAGTAATCATAAAAAGGGTAATTGTTACATTTTGCCATATTATACAAGGGTGGCGCCTGATTGGTTTGAGTTTGGTTTCAACGGTCAAAAGTACCTTGAGGTCCCAGATTCAAATCCAAGGAGGAACAAAAATCCCCTTGTGTCCACGGAGGTTCAAATGCAGTGACTCCGGACTATCTGCCAAACAAGTGGTCGCACTGGGATTAGTCGACTCGCATATGAAGTTAGATATCCAAGTAAATCAAAAAATATAAGACATATATGGATTTTGCATCTCTATTTGTTCCAATTAAGGAAAGTGCCATAATTCATTTCCAAGGTTGTACCTTTTTTGATGCACTAAGACATCTCATCTCTCTCCATCCCTCCCACTTGTCCACCCCCATCTTTATTTATTTTCTCAAAACCTTAATTTTAACAAACATCCATCATTTCTTAGATTATACAACTCCTTTTATATCAAGATCTCAAAATAAATTAAGTTTCAACTTTTTTTTTTATTAATCTGGATATTCAACCCGTTATGCGAGCCGACTAATCTCAGGGCGACCACCTGCTTTGCAGATATCCAGAGTCACCGCATTTGAACCTTCGTGGCCACAAGTGGATTTTTGTTCCTCATTGGATTTGAACCTGATACCTCCTGGTATTTTTGACCTTTGGAGCCAAGCTCAAACCAATCATGCACCACCCTTGTGGTTAAGTTTCAACTTTATAACTTACCAAAAGAATTTTATGGGTCAACATAAAACTGTCTTTTTAATTCATATGTTTTCAGATACAGTTTTTCAAAAATACAGAATTCATAACTATATATATTAGAAAGCATATGTTTCTTTCTTTTTCTTGTTATGGTTTATGTATTGCAACTCCATTTACACCATTAGGTTAAGATACTATCAAAATTATATGGTCTAGAATCAATTCCCGATATGTGTGTTTAAAGTATGGATTCAATACAGCGTTCTTCATGCTTTTGACTTGTTAACAAGCCTTTAATTGGTAAATTTGATTAATAAAAAGAATGTTTATTCACTTATATTATATGATTTATATACTTTCTTTTACAGATAATGTGTTTTGTTATTGACACGAATATCTAAGACAGTCTGTTTCTAAGTGGTTGTATTTATAATTAATTCCAATACATTGGATTTGTAATATATAATTTGCTTATTTGAAAAGGATTAATTTTCTTTCAAAAAAATAACTAATTTCTTTAAAAAATAAAAAATCTATATATACATATTAAAGGAGAAACCAAACATAATGAGGTGGCACCTTCTAATGCTTAGAACTTCTCCTATCTTTTTCTCATTTTTTTGATCTTTTTAAATGTTGAATATGTTAAAGACTTTTCTGTCCCTGTATGAAAAATGTACAACTCATAATTAACGCGGATTTTTTGTCATTTTGTATAATAAATGAACATTAGAAGTGTGTAGTTGATTGGAATTACCAAGTATTTTTCTTTCAATTTTTGTATATATTATTTTTAAAATATTAGCTTAATATTAAACAGATCATTTTACCAATAATTATGCTTTACGTAATCTTATAACGATATCTAAACCACGAATCTTATCCCTGTATTTAATTTACATTTTAGAACCCGTGTGGGTAAAAAGGTGTGAACCATAAGGACCAAATTTGTAATTTATTTTTTATAATTTATCGTTATTTTCGTCTTTATCGTTCACAATTCTTTACTAATTTAGTCCCCTATACTTAAAGATAATAATTAGGTTCAAAGACGGAAAAAAAAAATAACGAACCATAAGAACAAAAATCGAAATTCTAAAACTATAAGGACAAAATTTGCAATTAATATTAACAAATTAACCACAATAATGAAATTAATTTAGTGTATATTTAATTATATAGAAATATCGTGTCGCCACATCCCTATGCTCTACAATCCCTTCGTTGGCTCCAAAGATTTAAAACCTTACTTTTCTACTTTTAAAATTTTCTAATTAAACTTCTTGCTTTGTTGCCTTTTAATTAATTTATGTTACTTTAATTACGAATGTGACCTCGTTGTTTTCCATTCAAAAATTTGTCCCAATTTTTAATTAGAATTGTAAAAATATTTTAATTACTAATTAAATGATTTGATGTATTTAAGATAATAGCTTAGTTCAGATGATTTGAAAAAGAAAATATATTTGTAACGGTGTAAATGTTCTGAGAATATATAGAAACATTCGTCGGGTTTATTTTTCAAAAAAGTCGTTGAGGAGATAAAAGATGTTACAACATATATCCTGGACGGACCTATGTATGTGGTATAGGTAGCACGTGTCACTTTCTTAGTCAAACGGTGCCATCGTTTGAAAAAAAATTCGTATATTTGTTTCTTTTAATCAAACGTTGTCACCGTATGACAAAAAATT